CAAACCCTCCAGAGAGCTTCTGGGTTTGCTTCTGCCAGGAACACAGAAATACCTCCACATAACTTTGAAGTTCCTAGGCAATCCAACTACAAGAGGGGAAAGTGTTTAATCAGAGATGCCTGTGACCCCTACCCCTACCTAGAGTCCAACAGACACTCTTTTCATAACTGTAATAATTTTTTTCACTAACAGCTAAGCATTTGAGGGATTTGACCTGGTTCTAAGGTCCACTTCCTGCCTTGCATGTTTTGAGGCCTCATCTTGTGTCTCACCATTGGTATAACAAGACAAAATTCTTTTTAAAAATATTTTCATTATTTTTATTTTATGTATATGAATGTATTGCCTGCATGTATGTGAGTGCACCCGTGTTGTGCAATGGTGCATGGAGGTCAGAAGAGGGCTTCGGATTCCCCTGGGACTGGAGTTAAGGATGGTTCGTAGCCGCCATGTGGGTGCTGAGAATTGAACCCGGGTCCTCTGCAAGAGCAGTCAGTGTGCTTAACCGCTGAGCCATCTCCCCAGCCCCTATAAGTTCTTTAAAAACGAGCTCTATTGTTTCTCAAAATTTGTGGTTTAAGATTTTTACTATAATTTTTACTGTGACTGAGCTTTGGGGTTTATATTTCTGTTTCCAAAATATATTTTCTCATATTTTAATTGTATGGTTTTTGCTTCTTAGACTTAAGAATTCTTTTGAGGCCTGGGGAAATAACTTATTTAGTAGTGTGCTTGCATGACATGTCCTGAGTTTGGATCCCCCGCACTCATCTTAAAAGCTGAGCATGCCTGTAATCTCTACACTGGGAAAGTAGAAACAGGAGAATCCCCATGGCTTGCCAGTCTAGCTAAATTGGTGAGCTCCAGATTCAGTGAGAGACCCTGTCTTTAAAAGATGGCAGAGTGAGGGCTGAAGAGATGGCTCAATGGTTAAGAGCACTGGCTGCTCTCACAGAGAACCCAAATTCAGAGTAAAAATGACAAAAATAACGTAAACTCTGAAGTTTACAAATATTAAAGTTAAAGTGAAAATGAAAAATAAATGAAATAAAGGAGAGAATGATTTGAGACCTAATTAGAGCTGTTAGAATTGTCTAAGTGCTATACTGTCACTTAAGCTCTTCATTGTATTACATAAGAGCAATAGGTAAGATTCCAGGTTTGAAAGCCTTTAGAAGGAATTAAATTGCATGTACCTTAAGATGTCACATTTGATCTTTTCTTCCTCCTAAGTCTATTTTAAATTTTTTTAAAGGTCAAGAATTATTAACTTGGGGCTGAAGAGATGGCTTATCGGTTAAGAGCACTCATTCCTCTTGTAGAAGACCCAAGTTCAGTTCCCAGCACACATTGTGCAGCTCACAACTGCCTGTTAACTCCATTCCAGAGAGATCCAGTGCCTCTAACCTCCATGGGCACCTGCACACATTTATACATACCCCTGCACACACGAACACACACACAATTAAGCAATAAATATAATTTATATAAATTTATGATTTTATGTAGTTTGCTTTGTTTGGGGTTCCCCCCCCCCTTGGGTTTTTTGAGACAGGGTCACCCTGTAGCCCCCGCTGGCTTGGAACTCACTATATAGACCAGGCTGGCCTCTATTTCAGAGATCTGCCTGCCTCTGCCTTTGCCTCCCAAGTACTGAAATTAAAGGTATGGGCCGCCATGCTCAGCTTTAAAATTTGGTCCTCTGCCATCAGCTCTTTGGTTTTGGCTTATTTTATTTAACTTCCAGCTTTTGTTTACTTAGGTATACAAGGTGACTGAGTCCATATACAATATCTTTAACACTTTAAAAATAACTTTATTTTTAATTGTGTATGTGTGTGTGTGTGTGTGTGTGTGTGTGTGGTGTCTGTCTGTCTGTATATGTGGGCTTGTGCATGTGAGAGCAGGTAAGTTTGGGGGGGGGGTGTGTATGTATGTATGTATGTATGTATGTATGTGTGGGCTTGTGCATGTGAGAGCAGGTAAGTTGTGAACTGCCCAATGTGGGTGATAGGAACCAAAGAGCAGTATGCACTCTTAACCTGCTGAGCCATCTCTCCAGCCCTTGAAATAATTTTTTTTTTTCATTCTGAATTTAAAAGAAGAAAATTCTTGTTGGTAAAGGAAATTTTTATGGGTGGTAGGTAGACTTTGGAAAGTAGATTATTTAACAGCATTTAAAAAAATATTTATTATTTTTATGTGTATGACTATTGCCTTTATCTATGTAAGTGCACCCAGGTTGTGCAAAGCCCACAGAGGTCAGAAGAGAGCACCAGATTCCCCTGGAACTAGAGTTATAGACAGTTGTTAGCTGACATGTGGATGTTGGGAATCGAACCCAGGTCTTCTGCAAGCGCTATCAGTGCTCTTAACCGCTGAGCCAACTCTCCAGCCCTATTTAATAGTATTTTTATAGGTTTATCTCTATAGATTATTTTTCATTTCACACTCCTTTTTGGATTCAGGTCATTACAGCATTTTAAAAAAAATCTCCAGTGGACATTTTCTGTGTTATTTAATATCGTAGTTACTTTATTAATGTCATGTTTTTAATGTGTTATATCAGAAGTCCTTTTTTTTTTTTTATTTAAATATCAGATGTCTTTAACCTGAAGCCTTCTTGCATAGCATTTCATAGGGTAAGTTAAGTGGTTGTAATTCTAAATACCTCTCTTGGTTTCTTCTTCAGGACACGGCCAGTGTGAAATCCTCTAGTAGTCTAGAACCCAATCTCTTTTGCGATGAAGAAATTCCTATCAAGTCTGAGGAAGTAGTCACTCACATGTGGACAGCACCTTCATTCTGTGCAGAGCATGCTTATTCTTCTGCTTCGAAGAGTTGTTCTCAAGGTATAACCCTTTGAAAAAGTGTGCAGAAGCTGAGTATGGTGGCATGTGTCTGTAATGCCAGCACTTGGGGGGTACAGTCAGGAGAACCTAGGGGTTCAAGGTCATTCCTGACCATAGAGCAAGTTTTGAGTCCAGCCTGGACTACCTGAGACCCTATTGTTATACAAACTGAAAGAGACTCAAGAAATGGTTTAGCGGGTTTAAAAAAAAACACTAGCCACACGCCAAGACTGACAACCTGAGTTTTAGTTTCAGAACCCTTGTGAAAAAAAACAACAGAAAACTAGATGTGATATCTTATATCTGTAATCCTAGAACTCTTGCCTGGAAGTTCTAAGGCCAGCTAGCTTGGAGTAAGCAGCACAGTAGGAGAAACAGGTCCCTCAACCCTGCCTCAGCAAGGTAGAAGGCTAGAACTGACCCTAAAGGTCCTCTGACCTCCACATGCCCTCACACGTAAGTGCCTGTACACACACACACACACACACACACACACACACACACACAAAATAAGTAAGAAATAAACAAAAATAAAAAACATGTAAAAGATAAGTTCAAACAAGGTAGGAAAAAAATGTATTAATCAACACTGAATTCATCTTGAATTGAGTACAATATCTGGATAACAAATTCTAATACTATTAAAAATACTATTTGGGTTAGGAAAAGCCAAGATCTATTTTCATTTTCCATCATGATATTATTAGATGATATCCTGAGAAGTTGATAGAATTTTAGAGTTTTGTTTTGCCTTGTTTTACTTTGCTTTTTGAGATAGAGTTTCCCTGTACATAGACCGGGCTGGCCTTGACCTCACAGAGATCCACGTTCCTCTGCTTTCTAAGTGCTGGCATTAAGGGCATGTGCCACCATGTCTAGCACATACCTTATTTTAGTTGTTAGCCTTAGCCTTTAACGGCTATGCTATCCCTCCAACCTTAACACACCCCTTATTATTATAGAATCTCTGGTAGGTATTTATTTATACTCTGGTCAGTACCAGCTGTTTTAACTCACTGCTTTTTTTTGTCTTTTTGAGACAGGGTCTCTCTCTGTAGCCCCAGCTGTCCTGGAACTCACTATGTACACCAGGCTGGCCTCGAACTCATAGAGATCCACCTGCCTCTGCCTCCCAAGTGCTGGGATTAAAGGCGTGCACCACCACACCCAGCAAACTCACTGCTTTTTAAAAATACTAGTATTTGGGTATTCTTTTATTTTGTGTTTTGTTGATATTTGTTTTTAGAGATAGGGTCTCTCCCTGTAGCCCCTTTTGGCTTAAAATTTACAACAGTCCTCCTGCCTCTGCCCTCTGAGTGCTGGGATTACAAGTATGTACCACTATAGCTGGTTGGGTTTTGGTATTCTTGTTAGAGAGTTCTTTCTGTGGTGAATGCTTTTTACCTATGATAAACTCTAGGATTTTATGGTACATATTACTGCATGTTTATAATGTGTGCATGCATGCATGCACATGTGGAGGCCAGAGGTCGACGTCAAGTTGCCTTCCTCTATAAATACCGTTTCATTTGTGTTTTGTGTTTTGTTGTGTGGTCTGGTCTGGTGTGTTGTGTGTTTCATGTCTTGTGTTGTGTTGTTTTGTGTGTTACAGGGTCGCCCTATAGCCCCACCTGGCCTACTATGGTAAGACCAGGCTGGTCTCCATCTCAAAGAGATCTACCTGCCTGTCTCCTGAGTGCTAAAATTAAAGGCATGTGCTACCACATCTGATGAGATTCATACTCATTTTGAAATGGGTCTCTTATTTGAACCTGGATCTTACTGATGGCCTAAACTGATTGGCCAGCAAGGCCCTAGAATTACAGGCACTCATTGCCAAGCCCATCTTTTTTATGTGGGTGCTGGAAACCCAGATTCAGGCCCTCCTGCTTACCCTCTGAACCATGTCCCCAGCTTCTTGTATTCAGTTTTAATTTCATCTTTACTTTAAATGGCAGTAGTACATGCCTGTAGTCCTCACTATTTGGTAGGTTGAGGCAGGAGGATCTTTTGAGATAACCCTGGGCAACCTAACAAACCTCTGTCTGTGTGTGTGTGTGTGTGTGTGTGTGTGTGTGTGTGTGTGTGTGTGTTTCTCCCCCCACAGCATAAACAAATATGAAAAAAAACCCATCTTTTTAATATGAATATAATAAATCCAGTTACCTAAATTTACTATAGAGGAGAAATGGACAACCCTCCCCTAAGCATTTACTTTTAAAACATTATGTTTGTATGCCATTTTCACTTCCTTGTTTTTCTTTTATGATACCTTGGGGAAAGGTTCTAGTACTCCAAGGAAGCAACCTCGAAAGAGCCCTTTGGTTCCCCGAAGTTTGGAACCTCCAGTATTGGAGTTGTCTCCTGGAGCCAAAGCCCAGTTAGAAGAACTCATGATGGTTGGAGACCTCCTAGAAGTGTCTCTGGATGAGACGCAGCACATTTGGCGGATTTTGCAGGCCACACATCCACCCTCAGAGGACAGATTCTTACATATCATGGAGGTATGGATTTCACACTGACTTCAGTAGTGTTTTTAAAGCTATTTAAAATGCCTAGCTTCCTTATTGGTATCATAGGGATGGCTGAGTGGGCAGTAGTTTGGCTGTCCTCTCACTTAAGCTAAAATAATTATGTTTTAGCAGTATCTTTATTGAAATTTTATGTAGTATTTAATTTTTTAAAAGTTACTTCTGCTTGAAAGAAGAGATTAAAAACAGTTTAGTCATGCATGATTGTACAGGATTATAATCCCAGGATGGGGGAAGTGGAGGCAGGAAGATCAAGGGTTCAAAGTCATCCTTGGCTACTTTGAGCCAACTTGGGCTACATGAGCCTTGTTTCAAAAACAAAACAGCAGTTTAAGAGCTGGAGAGATGATTCAGTAGTTAAGAGCACATACTGCTCTTATAGAAGATTCAAGTTCATTTCCTATCACCCACATTTGGCATTTCACAACCTGTAACTCCAGCTTCAGGGAATCTGATGCCTTCTTTTGGCATCCATGGGCACTTCCATTTGCATGCACATACCCCTCCCCCCCACACACATATTCACCCCTCCTCCCTCCTTAAAAATACCCCCCTCCTCCCGGAGCTGAGGACCGAACCCAGGGCCTTGCGCTTGCTAGGCAAGCACTCTACCATTCAGCTAAATCCCCAACCCCAAAAATAAATCTTTAAAAGTAATTAAGCAATTTAGGACAGTTTCCTTAACCTAAAAATAATTGAGAAAACAGTGATTTTTAAAAAGGTGGGGTTAGGGAGATGTCTCAGTTGGGTAAAGTGCTTGCTGTGCAAGTGTGAGGACCAGAGTTTGGATCCCCAGCACCCACAAAAAAAAAGCCATGTAATCCTGTAATCTCTCGTAAGACCTGCCTGTAATTCCAGTATGTTGGAGGAAGAGACAGGCAATCTCTGGAACAAGCTGACTACCCATACTAACCAAAATGGAGAGCTCTATGTTCAGCAGGAGACCCTGCCTCAATTTATAAGGTGGAGAGTAATTAAAGAAGATACCCAACAGCCTTGAGCTTCCACACATATTAGAACATGCATAAACTTGTATACACACTCACCATACAGGTACACATGTACACACATGAAGAAAAAAAAAGCCAAGGAATGGCTAAATAGCACTGAATGGGCTATAAGGGAGCGTGTGCACATCTGCATAGCTGTTTATAATTTATTTAGTATTTTTATGCCCATGGTCTACTTTGATCACCATAATCTTGACAAAGATGTAGGTGGAAAGGTGAGTGATACAAGTATTTATTCTGCATAAGGGCACATTAAAGATTGCAGAGGTTGAAAGTTAAGGTCACACATATAGTAAATATTAGAAACCTTTGATTCTGGGGCTGGAGAGATGGCTCAGCGGTTAAGAAACACTGGTTGTTCTTGCAGAAGACCCGGGTTCGAATCCCAGCACCCACAGCTAACAACTGTCCGTAACTCCAGTTCCAGGGGATCCAGTGACCTCTTCTGTCCTCCATGGGCATTGCACGACATGGGTGCACTTACCTACATGCGGGCAATACACTCATTAACATAAAATAAAAATAATGAAGGGGCTGGAGAGATGGGTCAGCGGTTAAGAGCACTGTCTATTCTTGTAGAAGACCTGGGTTCGATTCCCAGCACCTACATGGCAGCTACAAACTGTCCTTAACTCCAGTTCCAAGGACATCTGATGCCCTCTTCTAACCTCCGTGGCATTGTATGACATAGGTCCAACTCACATTTGAATTAATTTTTTGTTTAAAAACTTTAGTAGTGATAAATAAAAATTTAAAGCTTTATTATATGATTTAATGCAGTTCGTTTTGTATGTTTTCATCTCAAAACAGAGATTCAACAGAATGTGTTAATATATATGAACACTGATTTCCTCCCCCTCACCTCCAGGCAAGCCAGAAATATGCCAATAAATAAGTCATTTATTTATTCATTTATTCCTTTTTTTCTTTTTCCTTTTTTGGGGGGCTGGAGGAGAGTCTCACTACATAGTCTACCTGACCTTGAATTTAAGGTCCTCCTTCCTCATGTCCTGAGTGTTGGGATTAGAGGTGTGTACCACCATTTTATTCATTTTTATTTTACCATCTTTGTGGTGGTAGAGATTAAACAACAGGCTTCACATGTGCTAAGTGAGCACTCCACTACTGAACTATATCCATAATGACCTTACAATCTCAGTCCTCATGCCTCAGTCGTTCAAATGCTAGGATTACAGGCATGTGGCATTCATTCCTGGATAGAGTTGGTATTATTTTCTAATCTTTCTTTCTCTCTTTTTTGTCTTTACTGAATACAACTGTCTTTTCTGCAACAGAGTCTCATAGAAGCCAGACACTTTAAACTACCTTTGTGCCTGAGGATAGACTTGAACTTTTGATCCCCTTGCTTCTTCCAAGTTGTGGGATTGTAGTTGTGGCTAACCTCAATACCACCACTCCCCGTCTGGGGTATTGTTATGTAACCCTGGCTGTCCTTGGAACTTGCAGTGTAGACCAGGCTGACCTTAAATTCACAGAGATCCTCTTGCTTCTGCCTCCTTAGTGCTAGGACTAAAGGTGTGTACCACCATGCCTGGCTTATTCAGTCTTTTTTTTCTTTGAAACAAGGACTTGAGTAGCCTAGCCTCGCCTTGAACTAACGTGGCCATGGATGACCTTGACCTTGTGATCCTCCTACCTCCACCTCCCAGGTGTTGTAATTTCAGGTGTGCATTATTATACCTAATTTATGGAGTACTGGGGATCAAATACCAGGATTTTGTGCATGATGGGCAAGCAGTCTACCAACCCAGCTACATCCCCAGCAAATCTCTCTTAAATAGCTTTATAATATTTTTTTTCTTTCCTCTAAAAAAATTTGGCCTTTGTGGACCTAGTGGCATATGCCTTTAATCCCAGCATTTGGGGAGCATAGGCAGGCAGCTCTCTAAAAATTCTAAGTCAGCCTGCTTTACATATCGAGTACTAACCATAGTGAGACCCTGTCTCAAAAACGGTGGGAGGGCAGGCACAAGAGATAGAACACCAAACACCAGATCTACCATTTTGAGGGGCATAAATAGTTCACTTTTATTAAGTACATTCATATTGTTATGCCATTACCATCACAATTCATTCCTCATGTGGGAGGACAGGGTGTAAAGTCCATATGTAGACCAGGCTGGCCTTCAACTTACAGTGATCCCCTTGCCACTGTCTCCCAAGTGCCTAGGATTACAGGTTTGTGCCACCACACTTAGCATTCCTGGAATGCTGTCATCACCCCAAACAAAAAACCTGTATGCACCATTTAAACACGTCTCTTTACTCCTTCACCCCAAAGCCTGTATTCTACATTTTGTGTTACTACTTTGCTTATTCTAGGAATCTCACATAATGACATTTTTTAACTTTTGCATTAAAATTCTTAGTGATTTATGTTTTTGAAGGATGACAGCATGGAAGAGAAACCGCTAAAAATGAAAGGAAAGGACTCTTCAGAGAAGAAACGAAAACGGAAACTAGAAAAAGCAGAGCAGGCTTTTGGAGAAGGAAAGCAGAAGACCAAGGAGCTGAAGAAAATGGATAAACCTAAGAAGAAGAAATTAAAATTAAATGTGGACAAGTCAAAAGAGCTGAATAAATTGGCCAAGAAGCTAGCAAAAGAAGAAGAGAGAAAGAAAAAGAAAGAAAAGGCTGCAGCGGCCAAAGTTGAACCTGTGAAAGAGAGTACTGAGAAGAAGAGAGAGAGAAAAGTGCTGGACATCCCTTCAAAGTATGACTGGTCAGGTGCAGAGGAGTCTGATGATGAGAATGCTGTGTGTGCAGCACAGAACTGCCAAAGGCCCTGCAAAGACAAGGTGAGGTCCCAGGTTATCGACCAGTGAGAGAGGGTTCAGAATTAATAGGCATGGAGAGAAATGTGTGATATGATTACAGTATATTTGGGATTCCAGGACTTGGACTTCTCTACAGTTTTTATAAACTTTTAAATAATGAAGTGTCTGTAAGCATGCTTAATAGAGAAAATTGTATTTTTTAAAATCATTTACTTAGTGAACATGTAGAAGCATAGAGAATTTAGGTGACACCCTTGGCCAGCAGTGTACTTCATATGCAATGGTAGAGAAAGTTTCAAAATACTCTTCTGACTTCCCTAGACAGTGATTCAGAAGTAGATGGATTATCTGTTAGCCACAATGTCCTGAAAAATACCCTGGGCTGGTGTTCTGTGAGCCGTGTCAAATTGTGTTAAGATTATGTTGCAAAGAGTTGAGCCTTTTCAGTCCTTATCTCATCCACACTCAAGCTGAAGATTACCTTCCTGAATAGATTGTGAGTTTGTTTTTTTAACAAATAATTCAGACCCTTAATGGTATTGTTAAAATTTTTCAACCCAGGCCAGTAGATAGCTCAGTGGTTAAAGACGCTTACAGCCAGGCCTAACAGCCTGAGTTCAATCCCCAGAACCCACATGATGGAAGTAGAGAGTCAACTCCCTCAAGTAGTCCTCTAATCTACATGTGCTTTGTGGCATACATGCACCCACACACAGCAGATAAATAAAATAACTTGTTTTAACCCTAAAATTTAAGTACAGTAATTCAGTGTTGGCCATTTTTTAGGTAATATTTACAGTGTTAACTTCTGGGAAAAATGGACAGACTTTATGGGGGAAAAAAATTAGTTCTTTAACTGTCAGCCTTCCTGTCAAGAATACTAATAAAGAGATAGTTGTGATGGTGTACATCTGTAGTTCTAGCACTCAGGAGGCAGGGATAGGAGAATATCAAGTTTGAAGCTAACTTGAGCTACCTAGTGAGACCCCCATCTCAAAAACAAGTTTAAAATTTATCATTTTAAGGGGCTTGGGGGATGGCTCAGTTGTTAAAATGCCTGCCACATGGGGCTGGAGAGATGGCTCAGCTGTTAAGAACACTGTTCTTATAGAAGACCCAGGTTCGAATCCCAGCACCCACATGGCAGCTAACAACTGTCCGTAACTCCAGTTCCAGGGGATCTGACAGCCTCTTCTGACCTCCATGGCCATTGCACGACATGGGTGTGCTTAACCTACATGCAGACATAACACTCATACACATAGAATAAAAATAATAAATAAAATATTTTTTAAGATATGCCTGCCACACAAACATGAGATACTGAATTTAGATCCTGAGTACCCATGTAAAAGCTGGGTATAGTGGCATGCGTCTGAAACAGTGAAGGGTGGGGAGAACAGCTGCATAGAGACAAGTGGTCCCTGGAGCTTGCTGGCCAGCCATTCTAGCCACTTGGTGGGCTCCAGGTTCAGTAAGAGATCCTCTCTCATACACAGCACAGACCACACACACTAGAGAAATTAAAAGTTTTATTCTCATGCTATTTGATATTTAGAATTTTATTAATCCCTCCATTTGAAAATAAGAATAAATAAAACTGCATCACTATTTCTTACAGATTGTATCCTCATTTCTGAATCAAATACCACATTTTTAGAGCCTGAAAGGGACAAAATGGTCATTTTGCCCCGGCTCCTCATTTTTGCAAGTAATCATGTGATGAAAATCACAGAGCTAACTAGTGTCAGAACCATAAAACCAAAAGCCAGCTGTGGTTCCTTGACTGTTCTAGATTTAAGTTCTCTACTAATATCCCAACCCTTGGATGAATGAGATAAAAACATACTCTCAGACTAAATGACCTTATATTGAAGTAAGGCTTACTAAGCAGTTTCCATTCCCTTTTGGAAAATGAACATAGAGAGAAACATATACCTCATTCTCATCTGTCAAGAATGAAAACTATAAATATTTCAGTGTTTCCCTCCAGTCTTTTTTTTTCCAGTAGTATTAAAAATACCACTTTCGTGCTTTCTGTTCACTGTTGCATCTTGCTCATTCATTTCAAAAGTTTTTTTCTATATTATAAACATTTTAAAGCATTTTAATTGTTTCACTGTATATGTATGAACTATTTTTCTTTCAGTTTGAGTCCACCTTCATCTGAGGGTTTTTTTGTTTTGTTTTGTTTTTGGTTTTGTTTTTTTTTGTTTTTGGTTTTGTTTTTGGTCTTTTTGAAGCAGGGTCTCCCTGTAGCTCCAGCTATCCTGGAACTCACTATGTAGACCAGGCTGGGCTTGAACTCACAGAGATCCACCTGCCTCTGCCTCCCAAGTGCTGGGATTAAAGGCATATGCCACCACGCCCAGCTCATCTGAGTTTATTTACTAAACAGACTGATGGAGGATTAGCTTTTCCTCTTTTTATACCAAAATATTGTCAGCTTAATGTTGTAGATCTTTCCTGTCTTCTTTCTGTAGCTAATTTTCAACAGTTTCAACACTGGCAGCAAGACAGAGTATTTCTTTTTCAAGCTTTCCTATCATTCTATGATTTTTTTTCTCCTTACCAGTTATTCTTCCAACTCAGCATTTAAATATATCAGTTCACCCATTATCCCTGTCCTCTTCAGCATGTAAACACTACAGGTATTCCCTCCCATCCGTTGGCTATATACTTAAATATAGATGAACTTGGGAGAAAAAGTCAACAGTCTCTGTGGAAGCACTTGTTAACAGGAAATGCCATTTAAATGTAAAGAGCTGATCATTATTTTTTAAATAATCCATGAGATTTACTCATGCCATAATTAGTATTTATACATTTTAATGGAGCATAGGAGCTTTAGCTATATTTTCAGAGAAAATGTCTGTATTAAGCTGTTCTAGGAGAGCATTATGTTTTACCATCATTAGCTTTTGTAAAATAAATTTAGTATCACATTTCTCGGTGTTGAGTTCTGTACAAATATTTACAAATTTTAAATATTTCATCTGCCATTTCTGTTGTGCAGTATTTTATTCCTAGCACTACTGTCTCAAGTTGTGGGTAGATTTCTGCCTCATTAATGTATGCTGTACAGCCACAGAACAGGATGACAGTGAGGGAATGCTTCTTTAGGAAGCCTTCTACTTAAGATACTATGCAGCAGAGAAGAACTTGTAGGGTTCATTTATGTTTTGTTAATAGTTTTCTGTTTTGTTTTGTTTTGTTTTTTGGTCTTTTTTTGAGACAGTTGAGACAGGGTCTCCCTGTAGCCCCAGCTGTCCTGGAACTCACTATGTACACCAGGCTGGCCTTGAACTCACAGAGATCCGCCTGCCTCTGCCTCCAAGTGCTGGGATTAAAGGCGTGCGCCACCATGCCCGGCTTTTAATAGTTTTTTAAAAATATTTATTATTTTTATTTTATGTGCATGAGTGTATTGCCTACACATATGTGAGTGTACCCGCGTCATGCAATGCTGCAGAGGTCAGAAGAGGGCTTCGGATTCCCCTGGAACTGGAGTTAAGGATGGTTTGTAGCCACCATGTGGGTGCTGGGAATCGAACCCGGGTCCTCTGCAAGAGCAGTCAGTGCCCTTAAACTGCTGAGCCATCTCTCCAGCCCCAGGGTTATTTATCTTTAGCTAAACATAGCTTTACCATTTCTCTAATCTGTAATGACTATTTTCTTTAAAAATAGACCAATTAAGTATTCTTACAAAAATTAGAAGACTGGTTACTTGAATGTACCTAGCTTCAGTTCCAGGATAACTCACAGAATAAAGAAAGACAGCACCAGAATAATGTGAACGGGTTCTGAAAATCTATCCCTTCCATTAGTTTTCAAGTGGGAGCTGAAATTAATTTTTAAAACAATATAGAACAATTTTCAGAAATTTAATTTTAAAATTTAGAAGCACTTTCTGAGATCCTTATTCCATCTTATTGGTGCCAACAATAAAGCATCTTTGAGAGAATAAACCCTTTTAGGCTGATATTTAAGAAACATTTTTCCACTGGTAGAATAAGTAATTTTACATATGAAAATAGGCTCTTGCTCTTTTATGCATTTATTCCCCTTACTGTGGGCTTTTTCTTATTCATTACTACTTCAGTAAAAGTTTGTCATAGTAAATTAAAAGTTGTAAATTTATAAATTCCTGCCTCACATATTTGTTATTTGCTGGCCCTTGATTTTTTAAAAGACTTTTGTGGGGATGTTGCCTCTACGAAGGTATTTGCATTACTGGTGGCTTTTCCAGTTCAAGCTCCTTTTAGTACAGAATGTCAAAGGCTAAATTAAGTACATGTGTAATACACATAGCCAGTGCTGGGATAGGATAACCAAGTGTCCAAATTTGTCTGGAACTCTTAGTTTTAGCACTGATAGGTTTCATAAACTGGGAAACCTATCAGTCTTAGCCAAACTGGAAGGGCTGGTCATAATGTTTAAAGCATTGTAAAATGAGCTAAGGACTAATAATTCAAGAGTATCAGTAAATAACCCCCCCACCCCAAACAGTTAATAGGCTATTAAGACATGAACAAAATATAATATGCCGAGAACCAAGTCTACATTTATAACAAAATATGAATGTCAGACTTCATTATTTCTTCTCATCTCTCTTTCTCCTCCTCTTCCCTTCCCCTTCCCCTTCCTCTTCTTTTCTCTTGGGTGTGCTAGGGATGAAACTTAGGGTCTCGAGGATGTTAGGCAAGCCTTCTTACCACTTAGCTAATATAACCCTAGCTTCAACATAGTACTTTAAAATTTATTTGTAGGGGATATGTATATGTCTGCCTATCTGACTGTCTGTGGGAATGCATGTCGAGGTCAGAGGACAACTTGTCAGAGTCAGCCTACTCTGTCCATCCTAGGGATCCAACTCAAGGTTGTCAACAAGCACTCTTACCTGCAGAATAATCTCAAGCCCTATCTCTTTTGAACAGACATTTTTCCCCACATCTGAACACAGCAACCTATTTATACTACATTACCAAATTTTCATTTGTTAATAGTTTATCAGCTAATAGCTTTTTCAGTTTTTTCAAATTCAAGGTCTTCCTAGGCTGCCCATGTGGACTGTAAGCACTTGGGCTTCAGGGAATTCTCCTGCCTTAACAAATTGCTGGAACTACAGCTGTATGCCACTATGCTTGCATTTTGGTGAAAATACTTAATTTTGTAATTTACTAAGTCCCTTGCCCTAATAAAGGAGGATATGACAGTTAGAACATAGAATACAGTTAGCCAAATTCTCTGCCCTTGAATTTTCAGGTTACAAAATTTTCTATAGATTCAGTTGACATTCTGATTTAATGAATATCTCAAAGAAAATGATGCATATTCTTTAGAAAAAGCTGGGCTGAGCTAGGCTTATGAAAGTATCTGTAATCAAAACCACAAGAGAAAACCGTGCCTTTCCTATTTGAGAGAAAACAGTAGATTTCATTTTTGGAAACTGGAAGCCAGTGAGTACAGTGAAAACTTAGAGTTTAAAACCATACAATATTTTTCTTGACAGCAGATATTGGTAAATTGGTAACATTTCTGTATGGTGGCTTAGCATGAATGGGAAATTGATTGGATTAATGGGGTTAAAGGTAGGAGTGAAGGTATCTTTTGGTTGGGAATGGCATTATAAAACAGCAGATACCTCATATCTGTGTAGCCCAATTCCTTTGTAAGCGCCAAACACCAAAAACACTCATCGTCAGTACTACTCTAGTCAGTACTGTATAAATGTTCATGTTCCCGCAGTACTTTTATTTTATTCTGTAGAGACTGTTACCTCCTATTTTTCCTCTGGTTACTTTACTTAAGTAGTATCATTGTGATCAGTTATTTTCTTAACTGTACTTTTGCTTTCTTCTGAGGCAAAACATTATACAGTTACAAATAAAAAAATGGAGCTTAGTTTAGAGAAGAATAGCTAAGTTGCTCTGAAGTTACAGGAAGCAATATCACAAAGACGTGGTCAAACTTAGATTATACACAAGCATCTGTCATAAAAATCTAGGGTGTGAAACCGGCCGTGGTGGCACATGCCTTTAATCCCTGCACTTGGGAGGCAGAGACAGATGGATCTCTGTGAGTTGGAGGCTAGCCTGGTCTCCATAGCAAATCCAGGCCAGCTGCAGCTACAGGGAGACCCTGCCTCAAAAACAAAAAACAGCAAAAAAATCTAGGGTTTGTATCTCCTAAAGTTCACACTCAGTTGAGTGTATGCTTTTCTTTGCTTAATAAACTCCCAACTTTGCTTTTTTTAAATAATAATAATAATGTATTGGAAGCTGGCCACATTTTGGAAGCCAAGGCTGGAGGATCTCAAGTATAAGCCCGGTTCAGATACCTCAGCTAGCAGAGTGCTAGACTGAAGATCAAATTTGAGGCTATATTGGACAACACAGCAAGACTATGTCTCAAAAACAAACAAAACCATTATTTGATTACAAGAAAAGATGATTAAGGAAATACAAAATGTTTAAGAATGCTTAGAATATAAATAATCATAGGTAAAAACTAAGTGATTATTTTTTCATAAATAATTCTTCACATCCTTCATTATAAGCCCCAAATCACTGACATAACTATCACAGTGCAAGTAAAATTTACAAGACATGGGAACATTTTGAAATGTACTTACTTTCCTTGAATGAAATTTATTCACATAGCCAAGACTCCCCTGTTCTTGTGGACTGAGGCACCTTTGATTGATCCCTTTGTATTCCATTGGTCCAGTATCTGGTAAAGCTCATGGTTTTAAGTGACTTCCTACACCTTTTTATTGGCAAGAGGGACTTCACAGCTGTTTTCATCACAAAGATAGATTTGTGTCTGTTATGACATTAAGTATAAAAGTCACAATTACCTTCCAAATAGAAAAGCCCAAAGTCACTTTGTTTTTGTTTAAAGTCACCAAACTGCAGTCCTTTTGTGCCTCCTGTAGTCACTGTAGTTTCTAAAGGGTCAATGTTTACCTGGCATTTGCCACTGATACCTATCATTTTTTCAGAATAATTTTAAACCCCAGAGTGATCTATTGACCTGTGTCTTTGACTGTTATAATTGGTTAACTTGTAAGATTTGACCTCTGATATTTGCTAACTTTTTATAGGGAGTTGTATTTGTAACGGAAGAAGAGAAGAATAAAAAATATTAGTTTTAAAAGTGGCCTATGTGACTGCTTTTCTAAAAAGGTATTTAATGCTCTTAGTACTTTGGCTTATCTCTTTGAAATTAAGCTAATACACAGGATTGCCTTCACATTGTTGTACTCTTCCTTTCTTGATTGATAATTGCATTGTCTTAGAGCCTAGAAATTGTTAATAATAGCTAAAACTACTTGGCTGCTCTATTAGAAGTTTCTTTTTTGTCAAGTTTTTACCAAACATGTTTCTGCCTCACAAAGAACCCCAGGTATTCATGAGGTAATGGAGTACCTAAGAGGCCTAATTTTGTGGACACACTATGGTAAAATATAATTTTGGGGGTATTAACTTCTCAACTTCTTTCTTTGAAAAATAACCCCATAAGAAGTCATGTCTATCTCTGGATACCCCAGTTGTTTGCTCTCATTTAAGCTGAGACAGCTCTTTGGTTTGCTTTTATTCTGGACTTAATGTTATGATCCTAAATATTTCCCAATCTTATCTTCTACAGGTAGACTGGGTACAATGTGATGGTGGCTGTGATGAGTGGTTTCATCAAGTTTGTGTTGGTGTATCCCCAGAAATGGCTGAAAATGAAGATTACATCTGTATAAACTGTGCAAAGAAGCAGGGGCCAGATAGCCCAGGCCAAGCACCACCTCCTCCCTTTATAATGAGCTACAAACTACCAATGGAGGATCTTAAAGAGAACAGTTAGCAAATGGTTGGTTAGCTTGGGACATAGGGGGTGGCAGGGAGTAGACCACATTAAGACCATACTCATCAAGTAGTGGTTGAAACCATTCAGACTGTTGTTTCCAAAGATGAATGGACTTCAGAGAAAGTCCTCTTAGTGCTGGCTTCCTCTGTGCAAGGATTTGTGGGCTACATACTCCATCATCTGTGCAGAGGATATCTTTTTTGGTACAGCAGCCAGTATTTCAACTTCTGTCTTCTTTGAGTATGGTTTACTGCATTAAGGTCAGATTCTAATTGGAACTCTTGGCTGTTTGGCATTTACTCACTGATGTGCGAGTGGGACATGTAGGATATGGCTTGTGGTTAATTGATAATTAGTTAGAAGCTTACAACATAAGGGCAGTACCATCTGAAGACATCAGTTGCCTGGCTCCCCTTAGGGTAATTGGAGAGGAGTCAGAGCACAACTTTTCCTTCCACAATCACTGACATTTAATGCCGTACTGACCTGGCTAAGAGGAGCAGGCCAAAGTTGTCCCTGTTAGAAGTCCTGGGGTGGCCGTGCAGTCCATGGACCTCAGCTGCTTGTGCTTATTTATACCAAGAAGAAAATCCTCCAAAAGAGAACCTCACCTTCCTCAGGAGGATGTCATCGGATTCATAGTCTGACTAGACTGGATTCTGGGAAGTGTTTTTTTTCTTGTTTCAAGGCAACGAGCCCTTTGGTTTGAGAAGCCTGTCTGTCTTGGGTCTACATTTTTAGAGAAGAGCAGGCACATGGATCCAATGTTCTGGAGAAGAAGAAAAAACAAAACTGACTAGTCAGAATGTCTTATGAGCCTCAGTGATGCATGCTTTTCGGAGAAGCCTTCATTCACAAGTCCTCCAGACACCACCAGGCTTCGGGCATGGCCGTGAGCAAGACTGGCAAGTAACAGCTTTTGCCTTGCAGCCTAACCCTGATGTCTGTAGTTTCCAACACGGCAACTTCTGAACATGACCCGCAGCAGATGCTTTGAATAACACCATGGCTTCCTTAGAGGATGTGGGGTTCCTGGTCCTCTGGATGTGAAGCTGTTTTAGTAAATCCATTTTTAAGAGGAAGAAAAGACTTTTTACTTTTTTCTAAATGTCTCTGACTACTGACTGTTCTATAGATTATTTTTCCTTTTTTAATATACATATATGAATATAGATATATATATATATATATTTACTGTTACCAGCAGCATATGACAGAGTGAGCATCAAAAATCCATTTGGGAGTTTGCCTTTTGTGTTTTTTGATAAATACCATTCATTCCTTGTAGTACAAGGAATTAGCACTCCCTTCTCCTTTGTTGCCTGAACATACCTTCTGCTATTCTTTTATTCAGATAGATAATTATATTTCCTTGGTGTGTTGAGACTTGTCCCTGTCTATTGAGAAACTTGGTTTTACTCAGTCAGTGTTGACTGTTCTGTATGTTTGAAACTATGGTGCTGTGTCCTTTCTTTCCTTTTGTGTTCTGTGTTCTTACAAAGGTATTAGGTGAAGTTTCTGTAAACTTGCTAGAAGGGGACTAATATTTTTTAAAGGACAACAGAAATTTTTCTAAAAATGCTGTTTATCTTCACTATCTGTTTTTCATTTTGCTTTAAAATCTGCAGTTTGACTTAAATTCATCAGTTCTTTTAAAGGGGGGGCATTTGTGGGCAAAGCTAGAAGCAGTTAATAGTCTCTTCCCTTTTTGCCCCAATTTTTTAAAGAAATGTCTTCTAGTAACTAGAAGTGAAATGTACTGTACAGTTACAGTTTGTGTGGGTATGAGATTTAACTCAAAAGGCATCTTAGTTAAAAGAAAAAGAAAAGGCCTTCTTTACAAAACCAATTTCTCCCAAGTACTAACGAGGCCTGACCCTGCTTAGCATCTGAGATCAAATAATGCGTTCGGGTGGAATGGCTGCAGACACAAAATGCAATTTCTGTAAATGCTTTCTCTGGTTGATGCTACCTACCTTTGGTCACTCATCACAGAATATTCAATAACATTTTGACCAGTTAAATTGGAGTATGTTGTTTTGTTTGGCTATCTTGAATTCCCATCTCAGTGTGTGTTTGATTTAAGATTTTATTAGAGATTACAAGGTTAATTGGTTAATTAAATTTCATAAGTTTTCATTTTGCCAAACTATGAAAATTACCACTTTGGAATTTTATCTGGTTATTGTGAGGAAAGCACAATATTTTTTACCTTTTGGTCTTCGAAAATGTCTTAAAATACTTGTTTAAAAATTGAGTGTAATTCAACCTTTCAGAAATTCAAAATGTAAGTGATAGATGCCCATAATACATACAGAAAATTAGTTTTCTTCCCAATGAACCATTTTCCATTAACTATGTTATCAGCAGTGGAGAGTTATTAGGATGCAGAGAAGGTGGCTGTTCAGGTGCCTGGCTTTTGAGAATAATTTGTGTGCTTTGAATATCATCTGTTGGAGACCTGTGAATAGTCCAAGGCAGCCTGCACCTGTGAATAGATGTCTGTCATCTTACATTTTGAAACTTTTAAATATATAATTTAATTGATTCAGTTGGCTCTTTCTGTACTTATTTGAAGAACTTGATCTGTCCTGACCACAGATTTAGATCAAGACTGATAAGAGTATGAGAGAAATTTGCTCCACCCCAAATTAAAAAATCTGCAGTTTGGGAATTAATGAAGTAAAAGATTTATTTTTATTTTTCTATTCAAAGAAAAGCTGGTGTTGTAGGGGCGGGAGAGATGGCTCAGTGGTTAAGAGCACTGACTGCTCTTGCAGAGGACCCAGGTTCAATTCCCAGCACCCACATGGCGGCTACGAACCGTCCTTAACTCCAGTTCCAGGGGAATCTGAAGCCCCCTTCTGACTTCTGAGGCATTATAAGACACGGGTTCACTCACACACATGCAGGCAATACACTCATACACATAAAATAAAAATAATAAATTTTTTTAAGTTGGTGTTGTAATGTAAAAGCATTATTTCATTTAGAGAAAATTGCAACTACGTTCCCGTGTATTGTTTACATTTTGTATTAAAACTTGATTTAGAATGTTTCTCTATCCTCCCTGTCTCCTCAGGGTTGCAGGTCTTCACCAATAGTGTTTTAACTTTCCTATTGGGTACTTTCTGAGCTATTTCTATTCCATCATTACAGATACTCTGACATAGGTAATGGCTGAAAAAAAGTTGAGTCCTGCTAGGCATGGTGGTCCATGCCTTTTAATCCCAGCACTCTGGAGCCAGAGGTGGGCATATTTCTATGAGTTCAAGGCCAGCCTGGTCTAAAAAGAGAGTGGCAGGCCAGCCATTGTTACATAGTGAGGCCCTGTCTTTTAAAACAATTTTAAAGGGTCAAGTCTTTGATAATTCCTAAAAGGGTAAGTTGTTAGAACTGTGCAGATCCCCACATTCAGAAGTACAAATGCAACAGTAGTGATTAGCCCTGTAGCTGGGGGAAAAGGTGCCATTATCCTCTCATAGCTGTTTATTTCACTTCCTGGTGTTACTGCAAAAGCCATGTGGAGGTGGAGGTGCTGGGCTCCCTCACTAAGCTGCTGTAATCCAGCTTTGCCTGTATGACTCAAATTTGTGTCTCAGTAAAGTTATGCATTGCTGCACGTCATACTTTGAATAATGGAAAAGGCAAACATTGTCTGTGGTGCCCTCAGCCTGATAAAACCACGGCAAGTGCTTCACTTCCCTCCTCTGCTTTTGTCTTTAGCAGGAGTCCAAGAAATGCCAGTTAATTTGTTTTCTTAGTTATTAGATGCTGAATGCCGTTCATTGCACGTGAAGAAACTGCTTGTCGATGTTTTAATTCTGTAGTGCATTTCTGTGTCAGCCAGTAAAGTAGGATGAAAAGAAAAAGTAAGAAAGCCTGGTTTTCAAAGGGTAGGACAATCTGCTTCTTAAAGAAGAAAGTAACAATTTGGAGTGAGATTTGAAAATTGTAAATTGTGGAAATTTTGAGCTGTTGAAGCCCCATATTACCATAAACCAGATTCAATAAAGTTTCACATGTGGATTAGCTTCTATGCGTGTAGAAAGTTGCTTTTGTAGTAGGTCCTTTCAAACCTCTCCCTTTAAATTAAATCATACCACTACTTGAATATGGATATGCCAAGTGGTATTTATAGCATGAGAGGGGAAAAGTGAATGTTTGTCTTTGAAATTGGACTCTTCCTCTTGGCCTGGGTCCAGTCAACATTTTGTAGCATAGGATGTGCACTGGGAAAGAGGGTGGTTTGTAAAGGATGCAGCCATCTTGCTTACTTTTGCAATACTGTTTGTTCAAACAAGAATATCTTTCAGAAACCTCAGCTTTCCCCATTTGATTATTTCCTTACATGTTCATTTAAAATTTACCAGGGTTATTGGTTGTGCCTTATGAAAATTATAACTTGATTTCATGATGTTTGAATATGTTTTATGGGGACTTTTTGTCTTCTAAAATAGTAGTAGACATGGTTAATTATATTACATGTAAAAATATTTTTTCCATTGTGTATCTGTGATCAGATTCACCATCTCAACTTCCAGCCCCACCCTGTCATTTACTTTGGTCGTAATTTCAAAATGGTAACCAAGCAAAGGTAAATTTTGAGACTGAATATTGATAATCCTGAGGAAAAGTAGGCAGTAAATGGGAGCCACTTTTAACCTGGGCCAAGCTGTTCCTGATACTTTATTTGCTATCTGTAAAATAAAGAACTGAGCTGATTTGGTGGTATGATTAGCCTATTATCACTGCTGGAAAAAGGGATTAGGGGGGGAGTATGGAGTATGGGAGAAGAAGAAGTAAATTTTTGAAGCTGTCACGTGCCCTCTCTCTTTTTTTTTTTTTTTTTGAGACCAGACTTACTGTGTTGCCCTAGTTTGGCACGTATGCCTTTAACTTAGAACCTGCCTGAATCCAGGCTTGTACCACCCCACTTGGCTGTCCTGTTTTCATCAAGAAATCTTTGATGACTAAAAAACTGCCTTTGTTTCTAACAAAAAGAAATTGAAATTTCATAAGACAAGTCCTTTCCTTTGTAAAAATTGTATGTGATTCTCCAGTTTGGATCAAGTGTATCTTGGGACTCACTTTATGATTGACAGCAAAAAACTGGAAAATCAGATTTTCTTCATTTTAACGACTAAATGGAAGATCACACTTGATAAAAATAGAGGAAAATGCAAAACAACATGTGAACATATGAACAAGCTTCAAGGTGATTTGGGGGTTTTTCTTTTCATCTATGACCTCTTTAAGGTGTGTTTCCACTCTCATTTGGTAGGAAGGAAAGATTTAATATTTCTATAAAGTTCCATGAAGTTATATTAGACATAAGTTTCCTGAACTTTTACCTTTAAAAGTGGTCTGTATATCTTCTTAATGGATAAAAAGGCACCAAGAAACCTTAGAAATGGTGGGACCATGTGGTGGGCTTATATTAAGGAACCTCCTTGAATTGTCAGGGTCTTATAGATAAAGAACTTTCTGTAGATTAAAATTTTGTTAGTCTAGATGAGAATCTTACCATTGCATAATAGTGAAAAAAGATAGGATTTAGGAGTCAGATAATCTGGGTTGTAGCTCTCTTTGTGACCTAGGTTCAAGATTTTGGTCTTTTTTTTTTTTTTTTTTTTTTTAAGTCATTTGCAGATTCATGTGAATCCAAAGAAATGTAAGTCATAGCCTTTCTCTTTGACAGAGCAAGGTGTAGACCATTTTTAAGGATGCTTCTCCCTTAAAAAAGATTATGGAATTTATAAAGGCATGGTGGTGCATGCCTTTAATTTCTGTGATAACAAGGCTAGCCTGGTCTACATAGGGAGTTCAGGCTAGCTGTGATGAGAAGACCCTTTCTCAAAAGAAAAAAAAGGATTATAGAGGTTAGGGAGTGATTTAAAAAAAAAAAAAAAAGATTATAGAGATTAAGTAGTCTTTAAAATCCTTACTTAATGATACAGAAAGTTATTTAATACTCTTCAGGAGGGAAGCTGCCTCATGTATGCGATCTGTAACCCATCACATTTGTAGATGACAAGATTGTATCAAAATGTCAAAAGGTTGGGCATCCCATAAACTATATTGACTGTCTCCATTCTACTTTTAGAAAGATATAGCTAAGTATTTGCTCTAGACATGCGTTGTAGAACTTGCCTGTAGTCTTTAATGCCTTTGGACTCCAGCACAGTTCAAGCACTTTAATCTTGTTCACTGCCCAGTGCTTCTGTTTTTCAGAGGCCATCTCCAAGGCCCAGTTCCAGCTGAACATTGAGTTTGGTTTATTCGTGTGGATTCTTGTCCTGGTAAGCATTGCGGCTAAGATGGAAGCGCATCCTGCCACACTTGCTGGCCTCATACTGTTACTGCTCTTCATTTTCCCATTGCCCCCTCACCCCGTCAGTTCTTCCACCGTATGTCTTCCTTTCCTGTTCTCCACAAAGAAACTTTCCTATTTCTTTTTTCTGGGAGCCTGGTCTCCCTCAGCTACAATTTCCCTGGGGCTTTTCAAATGAAAAGCTCTTTTGTTTTCTCTCTTCACTACTAGAAAGTGGGTGTGAGTGGACAGGCGTAGGCTCTGTTACCATTGTCCTTGCCCTGTTAGGTGTCTGCTACCCAGCTGTCCGTTCTGACCCCTCCAGTTCCTCTTCATTCCTTGAGGGACTTTGATAATTTGTGGCTCTCTACCCAGCACTGACCTTATGATGGGCTGTTTCATTCGTCATGAATGACCTTACAGTTTCTAGACCTCAGCCTCTAATAGTTTCATTCTGTTTAATAAACAAATTCCAGGGTCACACCTTTGTCAAAAACTTAGGGGTGTTGGTGCTTGTGGAAGCCACAGTTTAAAGTCAGGGTGTCTTCCTCAATTGCTTCTCCACATTCATTTTGTTGTTGAGACAGGGCATGTGCCACCATGCCCAGCCTCCAACTTCATTTTTGAGACGAGCTCTCACTGAACCTAGAGTTTACTGTTTAAGTTAGATTGGCTGACTAGCAAACCCCTGGGGTCTGTCTTCTGCCCCCCTCAGTGCTAGGGTTACACCTGGGTTTATGTTGGTCCTTGGGAACTAAACTCAAGTCCATCCTTGCACTGCAAGTACTTTATCCACTGAGCCATCTCCTTAACCCACTGTCCCATTTTAGTCTGTCTTCCCTCCTTGCACATACCTGTGTGTACATGTTTCTGCTAATACTCTCTCTTGAACCTCTCACCCTTGTTTCCTGCTCTCTTTCCATTGCATACAAGCTCTTTCCCATTCAGTGCCTCAGCTTATTGTAATCCGGATTTACCTTGAGCATTCCACTGAGATTATACTGTATTGCTCACTACAGTGGACATTCAGCTCCTTGCCTCTCTTCAGCTGTTGAAGTGCTGTCCACTTTCTTTTTGTACTTCTTCTTTGACTTAGTTGCTATTTCTTTTTTTTTTTAAAGTTTACATATTTTAATTCCATGTGTATGTTTTGTCTGTATTATGTATGTGCACCATGTGTGTGCCTGGTGCCCATGGAAGCCAGAAGAATGTGTCAGATCTCTTGGAACTGGTG